TGAGAGAATTCAAACCATTGCCATCTACCCGACGCCCCTTTCGGGTTCCATCCCTCGCGAGATTGGAAATTGCAGCGAACTCAAAAGTTTGTACCTTTATCAGAATTCGCTTTCAGGATTGATACCGCCTGAGCTCGGAGAGCTACAGAAGCTCCAATCTTTGCTCTTATGGCAGAACAGCTTGGTGGGCTCCATTCCGCCGGAGCTCGGAGAATGCAGCGAGCTGGTGCTCATCGACCTGTCACTTAATCTTTTAACAGGGAGCATTCCGAGTAGCTTCGGCAAGCTACCAAATCTACAACAGCTTCAGCTGAGCAGTAATCACCTCACTGGCGCCATACCGCCGGAGCTTTCTAACTGCACAAACTTTACAGATATCGAAGTCGACAATAATAAGCTCTCCGGCACGATTGAGATTGAGTTCGGGAAATTGCCGAGCCTTACTCTGTTCTACGCTTGGAAGAACATGTTGACAGGGAATATTCCACCGAGCCTCGCGGAATGCGGGAATCTACAATCTTTGGATCTTTCGTACAATAATCTCACCGGAGTGGTTCCAGGGGAGCTTTTTGCGCTTCAGAATCTATCAAAGATGTTGCTTATCTCGAACGAGCTCTCTGGTTTCATCCCTTCGCAAATAGGCAGATGCACGAACCTCTTCCGACTTCGATTGAACCGGAACAAGCTCGCCGGAAGGATTCCGGCGGAGATTGGCAAGTTAAGCAACCTCAATTTTTTAGACATAAGCGAGAATCTTCTCGTGGGGGAGATTCCAGCAGCTATGTCAGCATGTGAAAGCCTGCAATTCCTCGACCTCCATTCCAACGCGCTCACAGGCGCATTGCCGGAGTCACTTCCGGCGAGACTCCAATTTCTCGACGTCTCCAACAACCGTTTCTTCGGCGAACTGAGCTCCGGCGTGACGCGGCTGCCCGAGCTCACCAAACTCCTGCTTTCAAAAAACCAATTTTCCGGCAGAATCCCACCCGAGCTTATCTCCTGCGTGAAGCTCCAGCTTCTAGACCTCGGGGAAAACCTTTTCTCCGGCGACATTCCACCGAATCTTGGCCTCCTCCCATCCCTAGAAATCTACCTGAACCTCAGCTGCAACCAACTCTCAGGCAACATCCCATCTGAGTTATCCAAGCTAAAAAAGCTCACAAGTCTCGACCTTTCCCACAATTCCCTCACCGGCGATCTCACTCCACTCGCTTCTCTCCAGAACCTCGTCTCCCTCAACATCTCATTCAATTCCTTCTCGGGCGAACTGCCTGACACCTCTTTTTTCCGCAACCTCCCCCTCTCCGACCTTACCGGCAACCAAGGACTCTACATCTCCACCACCAGAACCAGCTCTCCGACCTCCACGTCGCCGCAGAAGCTCGCTATGTCTCTCCTTTTCACCATATTCGCTGTCCTCATCCTCGCTGCAGCCTACTTCCTCCTCCGCATCCGCCGCAGAGCCGGCGAAACTCCCGGCGACGGCAACTGGGAGATCACTCTGTTCCAAAAATCAGATATTTTTGTCGAAGAAATAGTAAGGGGACTGACTTCCGCAAATGTGATCGGAACTGGAAGCTCCGGCGTGGTATACAGAGTCGGCTCGGTCGCCGTGAAGCGCATGTGGTCAACAGAGGACGACGGCGGCGCATTTCATAACGAAATCACGGCATTAGGATCCATAAGGCATCGGAACATTGTGAGATTATTGGGTTGGGCATCGAATAAAAGAATGAAATTGCTGTTTTATAATTACTTACCGAACGGGAATTTGAGCACGATGATTCATAGGGGAGGGAAGGGGGTGCTGGGATGGGAAGAGAGGCATGGAATCATGGTGGGATTGGCGGAGGCGATTGCTTATCTGCATCATGATTGTGTGCCGGCGATAATTCATGGAGATGTGAAGGCGATGAATGTGCTTTTGGGGGAAGAATTTGAAGCTTATTTGGCGGATTTTGGATTATCCAAAGTGTTGAATGGCGGCGGAGGAAGGGAGGTGGTGCGGGGCTCGCCGCCGAGGATTGCTGGCTCGTATGGGTACATGGCTCCAGGTAAGAAACCTAAATTCATGATTTTTTTCTGAGTAAAAAAAAAAGAAAAAAAAATCTTATAAAAGATTTGGATGGTATAAATGTAAAAATAAAATTTCATTGGTAGATATATCAATACATAAGAATTAAGTGGCATTCATGTACATGCTCCTTTTTTCTTTTTTTAGACCAAAAATAAATTTCATCTATTATCTTAGTACGTCAAATTTTTTTGGATTTATGCTCTACAATCATTACCAATCATAATTCAAGAAATTATTACTATTTTAAAAAGAAGAGACTGCTGTGTGCACAATTGTCAAGGTAAATACAATTACATTGATTCATTCTCACACATAAATTTGCCTACTTTTGCATTTAAGATAACCCGGTCGTTATTATTGGGAAAAAAATTATGTATGTAAGCGTACGCAGAGCTGTGTATGTCTGTAACCTACAAGAGAGTTTTGCGTGGTTATAACCGCGTTATATCCTCTTTAACCTTCATATAACCTACTGTAACCTAAAAATATATGAAAACAAAAGCGCAAAATTTACTAGAAGGTACAAGTACACAGCTATAAGGGGTACTGTTATAACCTCCCAATACCCTCCCTGTAATATATTTATAGGTTACAGACGGAAGATGTACGCAAATTTTTTCCTTATTATTCTTCAAAATCATTCTAAATGCAATCATTTTAGTCATTCGAGATTGCATTAGTTAGTGAGATCTCTCATAAATAATGGGATTTTTTTGGATGTGATGAGCTTTTAATTTCTAAATTCGGGCCATGCCCGTGCATTAATGTTCCTTTTGATTTTAAAATTGGCTAAAAAATAAGTAAAAATATTATATATAGACATGATAGGTGTGAATTTGTGGTATTGGAGTGGTATTGCCACAATATCATCACGATATTACCAATCTGCAAGTGTAACTCACACATGTAACATTCACATCCCGATATTACCAATCTGCACGTGCAACTATCACATGTAACATTCAGTCAAAAAATTACATAGTTAAGTTTCTATATAGTTAAATAATCATGCCATTATTTTAGTCATTTAATTAAATTTAGGAACAAAAGGTAGAGTGGATGATGCAAATTGCAATTGGAGCAATCCCTATCACAATAAAAAAATTACATAAAATTATTTATTATGTTGTGCTAACCGCTAACAGCTATCGCTCTCCAATTCCAGAGCACGGTTCAATGCAGCGGATAACTGTTAAGAGTGACGTTTACAGCTACGGCGTGGTCCTGCTCGAGGTCCTCACAGCCAGGCACCCGCTGGACCCGAGCCTACCGGGTGGGTCCCATCTCGTCCAGTGGGCCCGATGCCATCTCCAGGCCCAACTCGACCCGACGGGCCTACTCGACCCGAGGCTCCACGGCCTGCCCGACTCACAGATGCAGGAAATGATGCAGGCTCTCGCCATCTCGGTGCTTTGTGTGGGCCCGAGGCCGGAAGACCGGCCCACCATGAAGGATGTCGTCGCCCTGCTCAAGGAGATAAGACGGCCGGCGGCCTGCGAGCATAAGGAGTCGTCGGCGGTCGGCGTCGTGTCGCCGGCGAGGAGCTTGGTGTTGCGCGGTTCTTCTAGTTGTTCGTTTATTATGTCTGATTGCTCTAGCTGATAGATTTAGTTGGGCTCGTAAATGGATTTGTGAATAATTTGTTCTTTGTTAGGTTAAGAAGTAGTTTCATTTTCAAAGAAGTGGATGGGAAAATTTAGGGTTTTGGTGTTGTGAATGTAGTCGAAAAGGCTATATTTATTTTGCAACAATTTTGAAAAAGAAAATTTACTTCTTTTACAACAATTAATTGAACAACTACTAAATTATATTACACTTGAGTAAAAACCACACTCCTATTCCTACATCTAGTTCAACCAACTTGCTAGTTGAGATGTAAGGTTACAAGATTTTGGTCAATCAAAGCTTATAAACTAATTCATTTGATCATAGTCTAATTTTAAGTATTTAAAAGGCCTAGAGATCTCTAAATCGAACATTCCTGAGATTGTAAGATTTTTCTCATCAAGTAGTTCGATTTGTCTATAGTGCGTTAGATTTAGAGATTATTTAAATTTTAATTATGACTGCATGTCCGGAAAGGAAAGGCGTAGTTACGTTAATAGAGTGATATATTTATGTTTTATCATTGTAGAAAAAGTTAATATACACCGATAAAAGAAGAGCTGACTGAGGGGACATCAGAGATTTTTATGCAAAAGTTTTAGAAGGAAAAGAATGGCATAGTCTGACCTAGTTGAAATAATTTCACTATTTATATGTATGTTAGAAGATTTATTTGCCCTTGAACAACATAGAATAATATAACAATAATAGGAAAAGATATTGACGAAGTGACTACCTGGCTGTGACGATCGAAGACCGATGACAGAGGCTATGTGACTGCGATATGCATTTATTGTTATTGATGATGGTTGTTAAACAACAGTGGTCTAACAATATTAGTAATGATAGTCAGATGATGTCGATTTGACACAAGGGTTTAAGGAATACAATGACATCAACTAGGAATTTGTGGTATGAGAGTAATTATGATAGTGGGAAGCAATAATGGTGGCAGCAACGAAGTCCGCCACATGGTCGTGTTCCCATGATGATAGGTGAAGGTTGTCTAATGAAAAAGGGGCTGCGATATTGTGACCCGGTGAAGATGGTAGTGGTATGATGACAACATCGGTAGCTGCGATGTCGGGGATGAAATAGTAGTTAGGGTTGTAAATGAATTAAGACGGCTTGTGAACTGACTTGAGGTTGGCTCATTAAGCGACTCCCGAGCTGAGTTTTTTGAGCCACGAGCTCAAGATCGGCAAGTTTTAAGGTTCGGCAGATAAACGAGCTTGAATTTGAGTTATATGTCACTTGGGTCGAAAACTCAGCTCGAGCGAGATTTTAATGCTTGGCAGATAAACGAGCTTGAATTTGACTCTTCTGCACATTTTGACATGAAGAGTTTTTGGATTCAAAACAATCAAACGGCTAAAGATGATGACAAAACAATCGAGGTATCAAATTCAAGAAATATGATATGAATCCGTCATCTGAAAGATCAACAAACATATCAAATCCATCATCAGCGGATCTGGTCGGCATACCTATCCACAATCCTATTCATTGAAACTCCCAAAAGGCCAACCGAACGCGATCGACCGATCAACCGCTCGTACCATGGCAGAAACGATCTCCACTAGGCCCGCCACTTTGGTCGACTAAACCGGAACACATTGAACGACTAATTACCGCTATATTTAAATTCAAATTGTAATATAAATTTATTATTAAATCTGCACATTGATTGCATTAATGGTGGTTTTCACAATCGCTCTCTCATTTCGGTAATTAGATGTTATTTACATAATCACTTTCTCTTTTTGTAATTGTACAAGAAGACCTCATATAATTAGGAGGCTTGACGAAGAATAAAAGAACCCCCGGTCTGAGGACTCTTCCTCAAACTCTTTGAGTTGTGGAGCCCAAAGAACCCCCGGTCTGAGGACTCTTCCTCAAACTCTCTACGAAGAATTTGTTGAGTTGTGGAGCCCAGTCCACTTAGTTCTTAATTGACAGTTATTTGAATTTAATTTAATTTAATTCTTTCCTTCATTAAGCTTTGTCTGTTCTTGGAATGCCGCCACTCTGTCCTTCCTAATGAAGTCTCCCGCCTCTCCTATTTCCAGAATAGAAGATCCCGCCTCCAAAAAACAACTGTGGATTCAACGGCTATTATTTTTTTAAAATTCAAAGACTGTTCTTTATGCATAATTTCAAATGATTATGTTTGTAAATATAAAAGTTTAGGTGTGAGATATGCCAATACATAAGAATTAGAGGTGTAAACAAGTCGAACATGGGCGAGCCATGCTCAGCTCGTGTTCGGCTCATTTATATTTCGAGCTCAAAAAGTGTGTTCATGTTCAACTCGTTTGCTTAACGAGCCGAACACAAGCTGTTCACGAACAAATAGTCCTTTTAACAACCCTAATCATGTAGCCATAAGACAATAAAGGTTTGAGCAAGATTTAAAAATTATTATTTATATTAAAACATCATTTGAATCTAATTTAATAATTTT